GGCAGTCATAAAAGGAAAGCATATAGCAATCGAGGCCTTCCTAAAGAAGGAAGAAAGATCTCAGATACACAACCTAACCTTATGTCTTAAAGATCTGGAAAAAGAACAGCAAATAAAACCCAAAACCAGAAGAAGACAGGAAATAATAAAGATTAGAGCAGAAATTAATGCTATCGAAACCAAAAATAAATGGTAGAACAGATCAATGAAACCAGAAGCTGGTTCTTTGAAAGAATTAATAAATTTGATAAACCACTAGCCAGTTTGATCAAGAAGAAAAAGGAAAGGACCCAAATAAATAAAATCAAGAATGAAAGAGGAGAGATCACAACCAACACAACAGAAATAAAAACAATAATAAGAGAATATTATGAGCAATTATATGCCAATAAAATGGGCCATCTGGAAGAAATGGGCAAATTCCTAGAAACATATACATTACCAAAACTGAAACAGGAAGAAATAGAAAATTTGAGCAGACCCATAACTAGTAAGGAAATAGAATTAGTAATCAAACATCTGCCAAAAACCAAGAGTCCAGGGCCAGATGGCTTTTGAGGGGAATTCTACCAAACATTTAAGGAAGAGTTAGCACCTATTCTCTTGAAGGTGTTTCAAAAAATAGAAATGGAAGGAAAACTTCCAAACTCTTTCTATGAAGCCAGCATTACCTTGATTCCAAAACCAGACAGAGACCTTATTAAAAAGAAGAACTATAGACGAATTTCCCTGATTAACATGGATGCAAAAATCCTCAACAAGATATTAGCCAACCGGATCCAACAATACATTAAAAAAATTATTCACCACGACCAAGTGGGATTTATACCTGGGATGCAGGGCTGGTTCATTATCCACAAAACAATTAATGTGATCCATCACATCAATAAAAGAAAGGACAAGAACCATATGATCCTCTCAATAGATGCAGAGAAAGCATTTGACAAAATACAGCATCCTGTTTTGATAAAAACCCTCAAGAAAGTAGGGATAGAAGGAGCATACCTCGAGATCATAAAAGCCATATATGAACGACCCAACGCTAATATCATCCTCAATGGGGAAAAACTGAGAGGTTTCCCCCTAAGGTCAGGAACAAGACAGGAATGTCCACTCTTGCCACTGTTATTCAACATAGTATTGGAAGTGTTAGCCCCTGCAATCAGACAACACAAAGAAATAAAAGGCATCCAAATTGGCCAGGAGGAGGTCAAACTTTCACTCTTCGCAGATGACATGATACTCTATATGGAAAACCCAAAAGATTCCACCAAAAAACTGCTAGAATTGATTCATGAATTCAGCAAAGTTGCAGGATATAAAATCAATGCACAGAAATCGGTTGCATTCCTATAAACCAACAATGAAGCGACAGAAAGAGAAATCAAGGAATCAATTCCATTTACAGTTGCACAAAAAAAACATAAAATACCTAGGAATAAATCTAATCAAAGGGGTGAAAAATCTATACACTGAAAACTATAGAAAGGTTATGAAAGAAATTGAAGAAGATACCAAAAAATGGAAAAAGATTCCATGCTCCTGGATCTGAAGAACAAATATTGTTAAAATGTCGATACTACCCAAAGCAATCTACATACTCAATGCAATCCCTATCAAAGTAACACCAGCATTCTTCACAGAGCTAGAACAATAATCCTAAAATTTGTATGGAACCAGAAAAGACCCCAAATAGCCAAAGCAATCTTGAAAAGGAAAACCAAAGCAGGAGGCATCACAATCCCAAACTTCAAGCTATACTACAAAGCTGTAATCATCAAGACAGTGTGGTATTGGCACAAAAACAGACAGATCAATGGAACACAATAGAGAACCCAGAAATGGACCCACAAACGTATGGCCAACTAATCTTTGACAAAGCAGGAAAGACTATCCAATGGAATAAAGACAGTCTCTTCAGCAAGTGGTGCTGGGAAACCTGGACAGTGACATGCAGAAGAATGAACTTGGACCACTTTCTTACACCATACACAAAAATAAACTCCAAATGGATGAAAGACCTCAATGTAAGACAGGAAGCCATCAAAATCCTCAAGGAGAAAGCAGGAAAAAACCTCTTTGATCTTGGCCACAGAAACTTCTTACTCAACACGTCTCCGGAGGCAAGGGAAACAAAAGCAAAAATGAACTACTGGGACCTCATCAAAATGAAAAGCTTCTGCACAGTGAAGGAAACAATCAGCAAAACTAAAAGGCAACCGACAGAATGGGAGAATATATTTACAAATGACAAATCAGATGAAGGGTTAGTATTCAAAATCTGTAAAGAACTTATCAAACTCAACACCCAAAAAACAAATAATCCAGTGAAGAAATTGGCGAAAGACATAAATAGACACTTCTCCAAAGAAGACATCAAGATGGCCAACCTACACATGAAAAAATGCTCAACATTACTCATCATCAGGGAAATACAAATCAAAACCACAATGAGATACCACCTTACACCTGTCAGAATGGCTAACATTAACAACTCAGGCAACAACAGATGTTGGAGAGGATGTGGAGAAAGAGGATCTCTTTTGCATTGTTGGTGGGAATGCAAGCTGGTGCAGCCACTCTGGAAAACAGTATGGAGGTTTCTCAAAAAACTAAAAAGAGAACTACCCTATGACCCAGCAATGGCAATACTAGGCATTTACCCAAGGGATATGGGTGTGCTGTTTCGAAGGGACACATGCACCCCCATGTTTATAGCAGCACTATCAACAATAACCAAAGTATGGAAAGAGCCCGAATGCCCATCAATGGATGAATGGATAAAGAGGTGGTATATATATACAATGGAGTATTACTTGGCAATCGAAATGAATGAAATCTTGCCATTTGCAACTATGTGGATGGAACTAGAGGGTATCATGCTAAGTGAAATTAGTCAGAGAAAGACAAAAATCATAGGACTTCACTCATATGAGGACTTTAAGAGACAAAACAGATGAACATAAGGGAAGGGAAATAAAAATAATATAAAAACAGGGAGGGGGACAAAACAGAAGACCCTCATAAATACGGAGAACAAACTGAGGGTTACTGGAGGGGTTGTGGAAGGGGGGATGGGCTAAATGGGTAAGGGGCACTAAGGAATCTACTCCTGAAATCACTGTTGCACTATATGCTAACTAATTTGGATGTAAATTTTAAAAAATTAAATAAAATAAATGAATGATATGGGGGGCTCAGTCGGTTAAGCATCTGACTTTGGCTCAGGTTATGATCTCATGGTTCACAAATTGGAGCCCTGTGTTGGGCTGTGTGCTGATAGCCCAGAGCCTGGAGCCTGCTTCGAATTCTGTGTCTCCTTCTCTCTCTGACCCTCCCCTGCTTGTGCTCTGTCTTTCTCTCTCCCTCTCTCTCTCTCAAAAATAAATAAAAACATTAAAAAAACGAGTGACTTGTGGAGCAGACTCGATTCTGAACCTTGACCTGGAAATAATTCCCAAGCCCCAGATGAGATCAGCATGGTTGCCCAAGCTGACATGCTGACACATAGGCAAGACATATGGCTGGTTATTGTAGCCCGGAAACAATTGAGATTGTTTGCTACTATTGTGGCAATTGTTGACCTAATCATCTACAAACTGATTTGGCTAAGAATTTTAACCTGGCTTCCCAAGAGGTCAAAAATTTTGTGAAAATCTGTCATATTCTGTCTCCTCTAGGCTAAACATACAAATTGCTTTATTCTTTGCTCAAAGGATCTTCATTTATATAATTGTGCTGGGTTGCTGTCAGCTCTGTATCATGTCATCACCTTCATCTACAGTGAGAATTATCTTCCCCAGAATCCCTTTTTTTCATATGGCTCTGGCAGAGCTTGACAACGAGAAGTACTCCAATAAGATTTGGAAGGTGGAAGAGAAGGAATTAGCCATCAATCTCTGAAGACAGTTGTAGGCAAATGGATGGGCACATGAGAGGTTCAGTGCATCTGCCTAGCTAGTGTGGAGAACCATTCTCTTCAGTGCTTCAGGCCAAGATCACCAGTGGTGGCTTCCCTGGCCTTGCCCTTCCCAACTATTCCAAAAGTTGTTTAAGCCCACATTTCCTATATTAAAATCCTTTACACCAGGGGTATATGGAGTGGCCTCTGTCTTCCTGACCAAATCCTGACAGATGATACATCAGTAGACACCAATGGAAAATATACTATGTGCCAATGAGGACACTGTCAGATAGGTCTTACTTCTCACCCCTTTAAGGTAGTCTCTTTTATATGGATTATATGTTTGACCACTTTCTCTTCAAAGTCTGCTCATAATAAATTTTCAGAGGCCTCTTATGAGAGATCTTGAGATTATTTTTATAAGTTAGTCATATGAATACATCTTGGCATTATGTTGACATGGATAATTTTTCCATACATATGATTATTATTTCAACACCGTATATTCCTTCTCAGATTCTTTTCCTTACCCGAATCTGCCTGTGTATGTTTTTATTGAATTTCATTGTGGTTTTGCAAATGCAGTATATTCTTTATGAAAATCATATTGGGCCTTATTTCCTAGTTCCAAAATCTTAGTAACCCTCATAACACAAGCTCTCCAGTAATATGGATAGTATACTATAAACTTTTAGATTAGGTCATCAATAAATTAGTGATTAGGAGAGACCCTAGGATCAATCCATGCCAAAAGCTACCCAGTATATCTCCTCAGGCTAACACAAAGCCCTTGCAATGACCAATTAAGCGCAGCTTTTAATCCCCAGAAAAGGTAACATGGCCAGTGTTACACTTTCTTAATTTGTGTTAATAGGGATCTGTGGGTTAGGATCAAGGCTTTACTAAAATAAATATACTAAAATAAAAATAAAATGAAAATTAAATAAAAATAAAAAAACATAAAGCATCACTCAATTCATTGCAATCATTTATAGTACATTTATCAGTATATGATAAATTCTTGACATTTTACATTTAATTCTTTTGTATGATAATGTAAGCTCAAATTTTGGTTCTTCATACTTATTGAAAGTTGTCTTTGCTCGCATTGGCTTTTATGAATATGTTAATACTTGTCATCTCTGATAAAAGACACATAAATGACAGGCATATTGGTCAGTTCATTGATATGGGTATTTCTATCACATAACTCATTGTTTTGTAAATGAGAAAAGGTGAAAACAGAATTATGATCATAAAGTAGTAAAGAAGATTTCTACAAAATTGATGGTTTGATTGTAATAATTGGTCAAATCCTTCTTCCTCCAAACTCAGGTGAACATGAGGATGATTCCTGCCCTTACCTTCATCTGGTTTTTCCTCCTCTATCCAGATGAACCACTGAACAGCTACAGCCCAAGACTTTGGAATAGCCCCCACCCAACAATGTCATCTGTCCTAAGAGGCAGAGTTTTGGGTTTTTTGGTAAGTTATTTATTATAGCAGACATTCACAGTAAGGTCTTTTTCATCAGTGTTCATACCTCCTCTCCAGTCTGTTTGCTTATGTTTCTGCACCCTTGCTCCTGTATGTCTTTTCTCCCACTTTGTCTAATCTTTCGGTATTTGTGCTTTTCCGGGATCCTGGAATTTGCTCTATTGCCTTAACTGCTTTCTAGTGACTGCATTCTTCTGGGTCCTGACTCCCTTTCAATCCATCCATTGCCTTGCATTACCCTTGGGTTTCATGGGTCAACACTTCACTATCTTCCTCTGAGCACAGAGGTCTGTGCAACTCAATTCTATGTGGTTCACCTGCTCCTGACTTACCTGGATCTATCTATTACTTGGATCTCTTACCTTACAGAAGGTTGACGGCTTATATAATGACAGTGATGTCCATACAAATTAATTTTAATGGTGCCACAATTTTCAAACTTTAGTTTCTCAGGTTGCACAAGGACCACTAGAAGTTCTGAATTTAGTACGTAAAAACTTTTTCTCAATTAAAAATATTTTTATGCTTCTGAATTTTGTATGATTTTGTCCTAAATGGAAATAGATTTTGTCTCTATAGGAAGAGATGTGTGGAATCAAATATCTGAATAAATTATGTCATGTGAATACAGCAGCCTTTTCAGATGTGCGCCATGTGATAGTCATTGATATTAGATGAATAAAGCCAAGATTGTGTTTGCAAAGTTTGAGAAATAGTGGGTTTATCAAAGTTAGACAGGTTTCTTTCATGTAGGTTTCCTCTGAACCTTTTATATGTTAATTGAATTCTGAATCTTTATGATAAGAGGTAAAGTTTGCAGAATATTGCTGAGTAGTTTGAGTACGGATTCCTTTTATCTGTGCAACACCTTTTTACGTCTCACTAGATACCAGGATTCTATGGAACATGATTTGGGAAATGCTGCAAGATAGGCTTTCAGGGAACGTTTTAATGATAAAGTGCACAGATCAAAATGCTCCCTCTCTACAAGAGAAATCGGCCTCATTGCAGCTTGAGTTAATATTAATACGTGAGCCTGAGACAGGAACTCAGCAGGAGAGTTAGACACAGTCAGGAACTATCAAAAGCATGAGAACCAACTGGGCATTGTGACTGCTCTCTGGTGGAAATGCCTATTAGAGGCAACCTTCCCTTTTCATTTCAAAAGCACAATGCACCCAGACTATGGAACTCTCTCCTGTCTTACTGCTTTATTGTAACAAGAACCACGTGACGGAACTAGTTCCATCCAACTCGCTCTGACATAATGTCCACATGAGAATGCATATACGTTTGAAGCAATATGTTAACACACACTACTTTTGAAGTAGAGTCTGTTAGAAGATCATAATTAAACTGGATGGGCCCATCGTCTACTATTTTCTCTAAGTTTTAGTTGCAAATATTCTCTCAAATGCTTAAGATGGTGTAGAGCAGGATATTAGCCATTGTGTTTTCTAATCCTGGTAGTTTTCTGTTTCTTGTGACATTCCTGGCCCCATTCTATCCCATAAATTTCATATCTTGTAACTACTGCCTTAGGGAAAAAATGGGAGAAATAAAAACTTAAACAATCAAATTCTTGCCCTTTAGATCTAGTACTTAAGTCAGGACATAAAGAACAGGTCTTGAGGAATAGCTGAAATGCTAGCTATCATGACAATAGTCCAAATGAGAAGTCTGTATGAGAAAGGAAGAAGACAAAAGATTATACTGTGACCAAGGGTTAGTGGTACCAGAACTAGAGAATCAAACCTGAATGATCACACTGATGGGAGGGGCATCATCATCCAGGACCTGCCTCAGCTCAGGATGAATGATTATACTCTGTCAACCATTTCTGAAAGCCACGTAGAAGCCAAGAACCCACAAACCATCATATTTCCATTCCAGGGAGCTTCGTGCATTGCTTGTATCAAGCTGGCCGTTAAGCATTGTTCCATTGGTATCAAGGGAATACCTTCCAACAGTCGTTGACAGCTTATCATCCAATAAGAATGATTTCCATCTGTTCTCAGACCTTGCCCCCAGACCAACTTCTGTGAACCACACTTCTTTCAGCAGTCCCAAACACCAATGATCCCCTCAGAGACAGAAGGTCCCTGATCACCTAAAGGAGTATACATGATGTAGAGGGGAAAGCATCTGACGTACTCGTGTGCTTGTATACACAGAACAGAACTAGTTCAAGATCTCCCTAGGCCAGGTCAACATTGAGACTCCTCATTTTGTGCTATCTTACAGGTATTCCTGCCTCTGGGCAAACTCAGGCTGATGTTTGGGCCAAAGAAATGTATTTCTAAAATATATTTTACATTCCTTGACTGAAGGACTTCAAGTTTTTTATTGTTTAAAATGTACTTCCAATAACATTTTGAATTTTCAAAATCTCTAGCTGTAGTTGTAAAATCCACAAGGCAGGACACTCTTCCAGGGTGATGTATGGTAATGGCCCATAATGTAGGTGTGCTTCTGTCTACAAAGATATTCTGAGAACCATATGGCACCTACTGTGGTGGTTCCTCGTTTTAATGGCTTATGCCATATATTGCCTCACCTTCCAAATACTTAAATAGCTGTGTCTCTCTCTAGTGCAGAGCCACAGGGCTGTCCTCCTAAAATTATTGTGAAAAAAATCTTTAGTGTCTGTGTGCGGTTTCAGAAGTGATGAACTTGCTATTAGTCTCATCTGATTTAGGCTCCCAATCTTGCCTCTGAAACTAAAATGCTTTGCATCTGTAAACCTTGAAGTAATCTCTCTAAGCATGTGTGTCTGGAAGCATTTCCATTTTCTTAGAGCAACTGAAGTCCCTAGGATATTTGAAATGCTTAAACTTTCATCTGGCTTGCTGATAATGGCCTATATGCGAGGCATTTCCATTTTTATTTATACGTTAGCTCTTTCTACATGATCAAATTTCATTGTTAAATTTTCTTTCATGTCACAGGTAACTTTCCCTGAATAGCAGATGAAAAGCTATGAAAATACTGTTGCATATTCCAACATGATATTTTTGGAAAATATCTTTTTCCCTTTGTATTCAAATATCCTGTTTCTTGGAGTTATTAGTCTGCATGAAGTTTGGCTGAATAGATTTGTGCACAGTAAACAATTGTCTTTTTCTTTGTACGAAGACTGGGCTCTTGTTTTAGGCAGTATCCAGGAGCTGAATGGAACATAATGCTACAAAATGCCTTTTAAGAGAGTTTACAACCATTGTCTCTTCTTTTCACCACCCTCATGGCCAGAAAGATTACAGGTCTTTGTCCGTTAGTTAACATGTCAATTTGGAATACATTTGAAAAGCTCCATCCCCCTCCCCCCCAGTTGAATTTGCTTCCAAATCAATCAGTCCTGCTAGCGCATTTTTTTTCATAAACCGTAGAAGGTCTCTCCTTTTGGTCTCAACATGCAGCCACTAAAAAGCAGACGGGTAAGGGGATACGTGTGTTTATTTTTGATATTCTGGACCAAGAATTGATTCTTTTTTTTTTTTTTTTAATTTTTTTTTTTCAACGTTTATTTATTTTTGGGATAGAGAGAGACAGAGCATGAACGGGGGAGGGGCAGAGAGAGAGGAAGACACAGAATGGGAAACAGGCTCCAGGCTCTGAGCCATCAGCCCAGAGCCCGACGCGGGGCTCGAACTCACGGACCGCGAGATCGTGACCTGGCTGAAGTCGGACGCTTAACCGACTGCGCCACCCAGGCGCCCCAAGAATTGATTCTTTAAATCTTTCTTGTTGTCTGACTGTAATGAATTTGAGAAAATTTGCTGAGCCTCAGCTTCTTAATCTGTAAAATGAAAATATTAAGATCCACCATACCCACTTCAGAAGGATGTAGGTGGCATAAGATGAAAGAACGTTTAACAATAAACATGGTGGTTTATGTTCTAGGCAAAGAAAATGTAAACGTATGTCCTCAGCCTCAAAACATAGTGTGAGGAGCATATTGTGATCCCCCATTTTCAGATGCATAAATTAATTAGAGGCTAATCAAATTTCATTTACTTGCTCAAGACTCTACAGTTTGTAAGGGGAGAATTCCTGCATGGCAAACAACAACGGAAAAATTCAACAGCCTAGGACAAATGAGGGAAAAGTGGCAATACCTGACAACTTAGGATAAAGTTTGTCATATTTTACAAGTCAGTAAGCAAGACTTTAAAAAGCCATCTAACAGAAAAATTGTCATGGAATATGAGTTAGCTGTTGACAGAAAAATAAAAACGGCCAAAGTACCTGTAAATGTTAAACTTAACCCATAATTAAAGATGTGAAAAAAAATAGCAAAATCCAATTTCATTATTAATCAGTAGTGAAATTTGTTTTTGTGTGTATTTTATGTGGTTCAAAAGGAGAAAACACTGCATTGTCTGGAGTGCATGAGAAAGGTCCCTCCCCCCCCATCTTGATGAGAATGTAAATTGAAACAAATTTAGGAATGCCTTGTGGTAATGCTATTAAAATTTATGACATCTTACCCTTTGACCCAGCAATCTCACTTTTAGAACTTTACCCTGGAGATATTTGTACAAATATGTTCTTTACAAACCCATTTTCAGTTAAAAAAAATTAGAAACAGTAAAAATAACTCCCCATATGGGATTGGTTAAGTGAATTATCATCTGAGCATACAGTAGGATATATGTACTCATTAAATGTAATGGCAAAATTATATATGTGATATGGAAAGAGGTCAAAGATCTACTGTGAAGTAGGAAAAAGTTTCAGAACAATATATTTAGCATTCTGGTTTTTTTTTTTTATAATAAGGTGTATGTCTCTGTATTTTTCAATAGGGTGTATGTCTCTGTATACATATCTGCTTGTATATATTTCAACAACTTCTGCAAGTCTTTCACCAGTTTGGTAACAGGGATACAGATTTGGGGAGAAGAGTAGAAAGAAGAGCATGTGAAACTTGCTCTCTACTTCGATGTCCCTTCGTGTTTAGGTTTGCACACCACAGCTGTCTCCTTCCAAGCCTGCTTTCTTTCCATTACACCAGATTACCCTCTGCAGGTGCTTTGTGTATCTCAAAGAGTAAAATTACTATTATTTGTAATGTGTCCTGAGCTGGTCTCATGTAATTCCACCAGAGCACGGCAGTTCTGTTTAGGTCAAGTTAAACGAACTCACTTTTGGTTTCCCTTCATGCCAGTCATTTGCCTGTTTTCACTCAGATCCGTCTTCTGCTTTTCCCTTCTCTGCTTTCAGTCGCAGAGGTCCGCCTGGGCAAGTGATATTTCCCTGGAGGCGCCGTGCAGTCTCCAGCGGGAGATGTTGGCAGGAAGCTGGAAGGAGGGAGGACGAGGGATGTCAGAATACTCCTCCACTTCTCTCTACTTTGAGTGGCACCTTCAGTGGGCAGCAGCTAGTTCCCCTCTGACAAGGTTCCAGGGGTTCCACTCTCTGGTTCCCTGGGTTGAAGGATGCCAGCAGCTTCCTGTCCCCGTCAATGTGTTGATCATCTCACCTTCTGTGTTGACATTTTCAGCTCTCTCTCTTAGCACTATTGTAACTAGTATCTTGGATAAAATACCCTCCTGAATTACGTGGCACGATTCATGTATTCCCATGGGACCCTGACTGATACACAATTTACATTAAGTTTATGGGCCACGAATTTTACTGCTTGATAAACTGAATGTAAAATAAACTGTAAGTGGAGCACGTGTCCTCCTGGAGCTAGAGAAGAAGGAGGAAAGTAACAATTCAGACTCTTGTTATGTGTCAAAAATTTGCATGCTCTTTAAAAAGAAGTCGTCCTCACACTCTTTCTTTGCTGTATTATTATTCTAAATCACAGTAAAGAAATGGAGACCCAGACAGATTAGTTAATTGGTTTGTAAACGGCAGAGCTGGGATTGAGCTCCAGGTCTTTCTCACTCTAAAGCCCAAGTTATTGCCAAGATGATATAAAGCTGTTTTCTCTATGCCTTCCTTCCCCTTAGCGCTCTATTTTGCAGGGTCCACCATCCACAGGCCTCCTTTTAGCACAAGTGTCTTATATTTGCAACATTTACCTTCTGCTCTACCACACACACACACACACACACACACACACACACACACACAAATCCTACTTTTCTGTTGTGTTACTTTTCTTTGACACCTTGCTTTCTCCTAATCTGATAAACAAATTTGAACTGAGCCATTATTTGATGACAATTGTTACTCTGCCAGAAGAAAAATACTAGATTTGAAATGTTAACTCAAGCCTGCAATAGTTTCCTAAAACCATTTATTTGTTTAGCCACTTTTCTTTGCTGAAAATGTGCTGGTTGCTAGATACACAGCGCTGAACAAGACAGATTGCAGCCTAGTAGGGAAGAGAGTCATCAAACAATTTTATTGAGTTCTATGTAGGAGAAATGTTCTGTGCAAGCACATGAGAGGAAATTGTATTGTAGAGTCCAGAAATACTTCCCTAAGGAAATGAAATTTGTGTTGACCATAAAGAAGGCACTAGATAAGTAAAGGCAGAGCAAGTGGGAAAAAGAGAAAAATTATATGACAGCATATATATTGGTCCTGGGGCAAAAAAGAGAATGGCCCATCAGAGAAATTTTTTTTTAGAGACCAATAATGTTGGAGTGTAGAGAGAAGAGCAAACCAAGGCAGGAAAGATAGGAGGCAGCCTGATCATGCAGAACCTCAAAGGACATATTAAGGATTATGGACTGTATCTTTTCTATCCAAGGAGGAATAGAAAACCACTGAAAGGTATTTAGCAAGGAAGAGGAACAAATCTCTTATTCTAAAATGAATTATCTGGCTATATGATAGAGAATGAACTGGAAGAGGGTGATAATGGATGCAGGTAAACCAGTTAAGAGGCTTTTTAAATATTCTTGGTGAGAAAAGATGGTAGCTGGAACCATGGGCTGCTGGAGAGAGAGAGAGAGAGAGAGAGAGAGAGAGAGAGAGATTTAGGAGGAAGAACCAATAGGATTTGGGGAGTCAAGTGGAAAGGGGAATCAAGAATAACTCCTAATCTGGGGTTACCTCCTGAAATGGGGAAAAGTGGACAGAGAGTAGGTTTGGCACCAGGAAATCCATGAATTCCATTGTTTTGGATATGTTGAATTTGTGGGTCTTTGAGACATATAAGTGCAGGTGCTGAGTAGGCATTTCTATCTACCTTTTCTCAGCAATCAGGACTAGATACAGAAACATGAGGTTGTTGGTCCCTGAATGATAATTGAAGGCCTGGGGGGGGGGGGGTAGATGTGATTGTCCAAGGAGAGAGAATAGAGCAAGAAGAGGGCCTAGGAGTGAATTCCAAAGAATAAGAAAATTTCTGACCTCAGAGAGTAGACTACAAGGAGGAGAAACAATAAATGAGTTCAACAAGATATTTTAGTTCCATTAGGAACTAAACAGGAGCTCAGAACTACTGTTCAATTTTAGTATTGGGAAGGGGCAGGTTCAAGAGGAAGGGTTTTATATTGGGCAACATGAACCATGTCAGACACCCAGCTAGACCTTATGTGCATTTAAGTACCCGAGCACATGAACACATGTCTCTCATTCTGAACCACTGGAATGGCACACTCACATTGCTCTTTTTCCTAACTTGGCTTTAGTTCCCAGACTGAAAAGATGTTGCAGAAATGTCTTAGCAGAGATGAAAGGCATGTTTAATCTTACCTTCAAAGTTGCTCATGGTGGCCTGGACAGACCGTCAGTGTTTTGCTAACTTCAATCTTAACAAACGAATTTCAATTCCAGGATTTTGCAGTAAATGTAGGCAGTAGACAAATTCTCCACCTCCTCTTTATTTGCTATCACCTGCGGGACCAATTTTATTAACTACATACTTATGAGTCTTTTTGAATTGCAACTTGCTCATTCTGTGGAAACTGAAAGGCTGACTGAAGAAAGCAAATTGTTTGGGGTCCTTCTTTTTACCTCTCTATCAGCACATTAGTGCTAAATTCTCTCGCCTCTCCTCGCCTCGCCTCGCCCCGCCCCGCCCCTTCTCTTCCCTTCCTCAGGGCTGCATGGTGACCTACTACAGCTGTTCACCAAAGGTAGAAGAGAGAGTAGTGTCCCCAGACACTGAAAGTCTGTCCAAGTCTCTGCCAGCTGGGACCCATCAACATCAACCTTTTTCACTGTGCTTTTCATAACAAAGATTCTTTCAGATTAAAACTAGTAAGTCAGTATCTTTAGCCTGAAATTTTCTCCTGTTTTAAAGTTCATATTTCCAATGGTTAATGGCTATGCCCTCCTTCCAGCACCTCAAATACATAATGACTCCAACAGTACTTTCCATATCCGCTCCGTCAAACAGCTCCCTGCTTCTAACTGCCTTTCTTCAGTTAATGGACTACATCTTGAGTTGTCACCTGGCTTAAAATCTGGGCTTTTTAATTTACTTCTCTTCACATTTCATAATCAGTTGCCAAGTCTGAAAGATGGTTCCTTTCCAACATTTTGCCCACCCATCATTGTCCTACCATTTTGATGCCATCATACTAATTGCAGGAAGAGGAGTGCTGTGTTCTTCTCTTCACTGCTCCTGTCCTGACCTCCTCTGACATTATAACCAAATGAATTTTCCTAATGTAAGATTTAAATAAATCTTTTTCTTATTTTTTAAGTTTTTAAAAATGTTTACCTATTTATTTTTGAGAGAGGCAGAGCATGTGTGCACACACACAAGTGGGGGGAGGGGCAGAAAGAGAGGAGAGAGAGAACCCCAAGCATTGTCCATGCTGCCAGCCCAGACCCTGATGCAGGGCTCAATCCCATGAACCATGAGATCATGACCTGAGCCAAAATCAAATTTGGGAGCTCAACCAACTGAGCCATCCAGGTGCCCCAAGATTTAAATGAATTCTATTCCCTAAAAGCACAATTGTTAGCCTGGCATTATTTTCTGTAAACAGCCTTAATCTACTTGTCTTGATTTCCTTTGTCTTTCATGTCTCTCTAGCCAAACTAGATCACTTTGGTTCTCTCAAATGCCCTTCTTTGAGCTTCTGTTAGTTCAGTCTATTCCCAAAACATTCCATTTTTTCCCTTTCTAATATCAGCTATTGACCCAAATTTCACATTATTTTGCCCGTAAAGTTACCCTTTTTCACACCCTAAAATTATTATTTTTTCTCTTCTATATCCTATAAGACTCAGTTTGTATGACATTTATAGCCCATTTATTCATTTGTATATGTTATTTTCCCTAGTAGATTGAAGGAATCGTGGGAGCAAGGGCTGGACCTTATCTATATTTTATCATCTATAGGTACTACATCTATAGTACTTTGTTTTATTGCATTAGCTTGTACTAGATATGGCTATGTGTTTTAGAATACCCTCAGTAATAGTGCTTTAAATAAGATAAAATTTACTTTTCTTTTGCTTAAGCAAATTTAGGCCTGGTAATATAGCTCTGTTGCACAAAGTCTTCAAAGATCCAGGTTCCTTCTATGTTGTTGCTCTGCCATGCATGGCTTTGATCCTGGGGACCATGATGGTTTCTGCACTCCAGAGGAAACACAAAGATGGGCTGAAGAATAAAAGAGTTAAGGGTACACTTGTTATGCCTTTTAAAGAAGGCTCCTGGAAGCTGATACAAGTCACATTCTTTTCTATTTTTTTTGGCCATATTTGAGTCACATGGCCACACCTACAGGAGAGGCTGAAAAATGTGATGTAGAATATCATATATCATATCATATAGTATAGTATAACATACTATAACATAATATATAATAACTGATGGCTAATTATAGTCCAAAAATTTATTACTGTAGGAAAAACGAAGATGAAGATAAAGGTATAATTTGGGTGATGATGATGTGTCAATGGAAGTTCATCAATTGTAACAAATGTACCACTGTGATATGGGATGCCTACAGTGGGGTAGGTTGGCTATGTGTAGGGACAAGGTGGGCATGGGAACCTTCTATACTCTCTGCTTAGTTTTTCTGTGAATCTAAAATACTCTAAAAAATAATGTCTATTCAAAAAACTTAAGACATAAATAGGAGTCTCAGCTCTATTTCTCCAGAATAGATTGAAACAAGTATTATGGAATAAATGAATGAATGACAATAGCAGGTGAAAGATAGCAGGTGAAGGTTGAAATAATTTTCCAAGGGAGCTATATTTAGAAGTTTTTTTTTTTTTACTTAGTGAACTTCATGCTTAATAATCCTATTATCCTTAATATAATATTCTGTTTTCTGGGTTAGTGATTATAGTCTTATTAACTTGAGAAAAAAAATTTAATCAAGGATAGCTTTACTGGATTTGTATCTAAATCATTTCTTTTAAAAGAGAG